GGGGGGGGGGGGGGGGGGTTCTCCAGGGAATTCCCTTTAGGGTCAGTTTCCAGAAGCTCTAACTCTTAGCCTTCTAATCTCAGATCTGTTCATCCTCAAAAAACTGTTCTTCTAAACATTTTTCCCCTCCTGAAATCTAAACTTTTAGGGTCATTGATACTCCCTCTTTTCTCTCTCATCCTGGAGCATCCCATTAGAAAAGCTGGTATTGAATCACACCAGAGATTTTGGTCTAGCTCAGTCCTCACCAAAGACCCATAAATTCAAGGCTGTGCAAATTTAGCTCAAAATGTACCCCTTCTTCTCATCCAGGTAACGTACAGTAACTCACAGCTTTCAGGCTGGGAAGAAGCCACTCTTATAAGAATAACAGCATCATTCTCTTCTGACCGCTCAAAGCAAGGCATTGTGTTGATTGGTTCAACAGGGATTGCTCTTGTCTCCAGAAATAATGCTGTGTTGTTCTCATCCCTGAACTGCAGGAACCTACTGGCATCGATTTGCCACTGCTGGATCCTGCTGGCACCATCACCACCGTCACAGGGCCGAGTGCTTTCAGCATCCCTCTCCCTATCCGGCAGAAGCTCTGCAGCAGCCTGGATGCCCCACAGACCAGAGGCCATGACTGGAGGATGCTGGCCCATAAGCTAAACCTGGACAGGTGAGATGGCCAGGCTCCAGGACTAGTCACTGTCTGTCAGACACAGGTCTCTGGATGTAACTGTTAGACACTGGGCAGCATTCCTTCTTTTCCATCCACACATCTACTTACTTCTTCACTCTGCAAACACTTATTAAGCTCCTTCTTTGTACCTTGCACAACGGGCTTGCACACACATTGTGTCAAGAGACATTCTGGGCTTATTTGACATTTGTAAGTACCAAGTTTTATGATCCACTTTGCAAAGCTGAAGCGCTAAATCCCCCTAAATAATATATCCACTCACTAAGGTAGTTATTGTTCCTTTTCTCCAGTTAAGCAGGACCTAATGATTGATGAATAATTAACATGTTAACACCTCACTGATATTAAGTTATAAAGAGACCTCAGGAGCCTCTCCTTTGTAGAATGTCACCCAGTAAGGTAGTAAACCAAGCAAAAGATATGGCATGACCTGTCAAAGATTATCAGAGCCTGGGCTGGAAAGAAAACATAAGTATCTTGATTTCCTGCTTAGGATATGACCCACAGACGTCTTGTCTCTTAAATTATCTTACTCAGAGTTGAGGTTAATAATGTTAAACATCACGTCTTCTGTCTGGAGCTGATCTAATTAAGTATGAGCTAGTTATTTAGGATGGCTCACGATAAACCACAGTGGGACTGGTATACTTGAAGACAAATGGAGAGACACAGATAGATTTAGCCAAGTAAAAATAGAATAGAAAATAGATCTGTGAATCATGTCATCCAGCACAATCTCCCATTCCCTATTACAGGTACTTGAATTACTTTGCCACCAAATCGAGCCCAACTGGCGTAATCCTGGATCTCTGGGAAGCACAGAACTTCCCAGATGGAAACCTGAGTATGCTGGCAGCTGTCTTGGAAGAAATGGGAAGACATGAAACAGTAGTGTCCTTAGCAGCAGAAGGGCAGTACTGACCATGCTGGAACTGAAAATGAAGGACACACATGCACAGGGAGTCTGTGGCTGTCCAGGAGAATCACAGCCGGGGAGCAAACCCAGACCAGACCAATGAGCTTCACAGGCACGATCACAGCAGGAGAGAGAAGGAAAACATACAACTGCCAATGTACATGCCCACTTCACTCGGACATCATCAGAGGAGTTAAGAAAAATGGTGTAAATTTGTACTTTGAATTTAAAAATCAACCTAATTTTTTCTCTTAGTTGGGCTGTATGCTGTGTGGTACAGGATCTTACAGTTTCCTAGGAAACGCTTTTTATTGCTATCCAGATATATGGATAAACTTTCTTAACAAACCCAATTTCTACAAATGTTGTTTACATCAGATTGGACAGGGATGCAGACACTGTCCATGGCTCATTCTATTTTTGTTCAAATCATTTGAAGTTAAAGCTGTGGACGGTTTGTTGTGTCTATTTCAGATTAGTAATTTACAGAGAAATCACAGACTTTTGCTACAAATCATGTGCATCAAGTGTCTCAGATAATCCATCAGTGTCCTGTTTCTAGAACTTGTCGAACCAGTGTTACTACTTGTATCAGGGAAGTGGAGAATCTAAGTGTAGAGGAGAAATAACTAAGACTCCTTATTCCTTGGGGAGGACCCTCCTGGTGCCCTTTGGGAATAAAGCCGTAGCTTTGCAGGGAAGATAGTAATTCATATTCAGCCACACAGACAGCATTTCTTCACAATACGTGTGTTTGTAATATGCAATTTGAAGTGTTTTTTTAAAAAAGGTATTATTATCATTATCATTATTATTGATGAGTATTTACAAGTATTCTAGTAAAAGGACTTTCTTTTAAATTTTTCTGTTAGCAGTACTATTAGTATTTGGGTGTTGACTAGACCTGCCTCATCTTCTCACATAGCAAGGGGGCGTGGTCGCCAGTTTAATTCAACAGGCACTGCTTCCTTGACCTTTTACCTTTCTTCTACCATTCTGCCCTGGAAAAGTAGTAAATGCTTCCTGGCTTTGTCAATCTGTGCTTGCCGCTTGCTCAGGCAGTCTTTCTCCTCTGAGTCTCTGTTAAGTTCACTTAATATTGTGGTTGTGTGACCCCACATTGACTCCCCATGGTGCTCTGTCTACCTTAGAGGCAGTGTGGTTGGGGGAACAGCCTCTGTACTGGAAATCAGGAAACCAGTTCTTATCATGGGTGTGTTAGTGTCTAGCTGTGCTACCTTGAGAAAGTCATTTAACCTCACTGGATCTCAGAGTCCTCACCTGTAAAATAAAGGGGTGGGATTAAATCATCTCAAGGTTCTAACATGCTGGACTTCCACTGTGATGCGTCCCATCTCAGTCATCAGTCTGAAGACCACAGTGGACTCTGACCTGGATCATTTAAATAGCTAGTGTTTTGCCCAGGCTACATTACGCCTTTCAAATAGTTCCGACTTGGAAGGTGATTACTCTAACCTGCAACACATGTGGCTTTTAAGTCTTGTCTTTGTGTCATTGCATTATGCTGTTCACAGAGAGATGGCATCCCTTCCTTACCGTTCTCTTGTCTTCTCTTGGGACCCCAAGCTTTCCTAACTAATTGTAAATCCTGTTTTATTTTTGTCTTGGTTTCTTAGTATCAAGACCACTCTTACAAAATCATCCAGCAGTAGGAACTTAGTGAGTTTTTTCTCCCCCCTTAATCTTTGCTTTCATAATATTCAGTAGCATTTTCAATGGTTATTTAATTAGCCCTTTTAAAAAATTGTACCCTGCAAAATGTTAGTTAACGGACTACTTTATGTAAACTGTGATGTTTCCTTGGGACCATCACAGGCTCTTTGTTTTAACACAGAGACTCCATTCAGCATGTGGGGAATGACGAGTCAGCAACCTGGTAGCCAAACCAAGACTGAACAGCAAGGGCCCATGCGTATGAATCAGAACCTCAGAACAACACTGTGGTTTACTTTGGGGCTGGAGGTATCCAGGTTGCTGACTGGATTTTAATTAGAAATCCTTTTACACATTTCCTCCCATCTTTCCACATGTATTTCCACTCCTATTTTGGTGACTTATGTTCCCAGTGCTCCCATCCTCATCTTTGAGGAACTATTGATACCTTGTTTTTGAGCTTCTTCTCTTAGATGCGTTTTTTTTTTTTAATCTTCAGTTTTAGACATATATTGGATAATCTCTCTCTCGGGCTACTCATTACATCAGGATTTCCACATATAAAAATATTTGTTACAGTGATTGTGGAAGGGAGAGTTTGCACTAATAAGGTCAGTGGATAATATTCATACCAATGAGTGAAATTATACTCTAAAAATTAAAAATAGATATTAAAAAGGGGAGGAGGAAAGAGAGCTAGTGTCCATTGCTGCATTTTGAAATAAACTTAACTTGTCAAGATTACTCATCCACGGTGGGTCTGCAGAACCACCTATGGAAATCAAGAACTAGACATCTGAACTGGACGCTAAAGGAACTTCTATGCTAGTGAAAAGTAGAGGGGATCAATGTGTAGCTATCCAGCTATGCAGATGAATCAAAAGCTTTTCATGAAAAGCTTTGAATAAAAAAATCACCAACACAGAAATATTGAGTATAATAGGAACTGCATTAATGAAGCCATTGAGGGCCCTTAGGGCTCACTTCAGATGCTTGTTTTTTGGTTCAACCTCCCACTACCAGAAAAGGGAAGAGTGATTGATTCCTTGTAAGGGAGGTATTCATCTATTGTAGAGCTCTGTTATGTTTCCTCTCAGGTGAGTGACAACTTCCACAAGTTCAGCACACCGTTTATGTCAAATAACGTTCACTATGAATTCTGATTGCCTTCTCCTTTGGAGTAAAGTAATAGCTGATAGATGGCTCCCCAACTTAGACGGTCCAAACACAACAGTCCATTTCATAGGAAGCCACTTCATCAACCCTGCTATGTGACATGTCCTGCTTGTCCACAGCTTGTGAGGAAAGCAGGGCTTCCTTCATTTGGATGGGAGAAAACGATCATTTGTGCATGGTGCCATCTAGTGGTACACAACACAATCTATCCTGAGTTGAATATAAAAACTCCCTCAAAGTTGTTAGACAAAGGGAATGAGTACCTATAGAGCTCAAAAGGACATTTAGGGCAAATAGATGTGGGGAAATTTTCACTTCAAATGTACACTTTTCTTATTCTTGCATTTTTTTTCACTTGAATCACCCATCTCATTATGAGCCCAGTACGTCAGCTCATTCATACACATCTTCAATTGCTTTCCTGTGATAGAAATACATAAAATCTATATAAAACAGTCTTTAAGGAGTTGCTATTTCTAACATATATGGTTTTTATTGGGCTTTGTAAATTTTAAATCTTATTTTTAGTTCCATAATAAGCATCTTTGGAAATGTAAGACATATCTGCTTAGAAAAAATGTCTTACATGTAAATGGGAATACTATGTCTAAGGAAGAAAAAAATTGTAGCTGTTAATCAAGGAGGCGAAAGAAGCTTCTTTTCTTCTGAATTTGGGAATCTAAAGGCAGAGGTTTCATCCTCTTTTCATTTTCTCCTCACTACACTCGTTCAAATATCCTTAAAGTGATCTGGAAGGAATAGAAACTGGACTCAGAATTGGTAACTGGGCACATGATGACAAACGTGTAATGCTGAGGTACTCAAGCTAACAGCTTTTTTACAGACATCTGCCAAAGTAGATACCTCTGTTACACAGAAAACTCCATCCTGATGTGAGCAATTTAAGCTATTTGAGGGCGGGACAAGTTTTTTAGGTGAGGTGTTGACTATTAAACTACATAATTATTAGCCATTTTCATATATACTATTATTTCATAGATTTTAGTCGCTCAGCTGTCAAATAGTTGAGCCATTCTTTAGGAAAATGTGATGGGTACTAAGTGCAGGACACTCCAGAAACTACATATTCAGTAAATTTTTTAAGGTATTTCTCCTATAAGTAAGATCTTAAAAATAAACCTAGGGTGAAATGAAGACTTTTCACTTCTTCTGGAGAAGTGCGAACCAGGCTCTGTCTTAGGTACCCTTCTGTGTGTGTCTGTCAGGGACACGGCAGCTGTGTTCTTGGTCCGCTTTATGGATGTATGAAGAAGGGAGCTAGTGAGGTGATCACTGTCTCCCCAGGATTCACAGGCCTTTGCCCTCACATGACCAAGCAAATATAAAACTATAGAAGCACCTACAAGAGTGTAAAGAAGGTAGAAAAAGTTTAATTGTCGGGTGTTCAGTCTTCGAGTTGAATGTGAGCTGCGGCTTTTGCTGAGCAATTGCTCTGGACAAGTGATCGGTTTCACATGGAGACCTCAGTGCAAGTCCAAGGCCCAGGAGAGAAAAGAGGGCCATGGAAACACAGCTGAAATGAAATTGGGCTTTATCCATCTTCTCTGAGAATGGAGGAGCTTTTGTGGATCGGAATCATTGCTCAAAGCCAATTATTTGCCAAGATGATAATGGTCAGTGAGCATCAGATTTTATAGACGTAATAAGGAAGAATATTTTTATTACTGATTATCTCAAGGTAACAAAACTTTTTTTATCTTTCGAGTGCCTCATAGGACCAACTATTATATCTTGTTTTTGTGTTTTTGTGTTTGTATTATTTTTATATGTTTTTTAATCTTACTGAGCTAATATTGACTGAAATCCTTAGAACTTTGCCTCTGTGCAATGAAGTACTGTTTCTCTACCCTAAGAGATCTATTTGTATAATCTCTAGCTGTAATGACCACTTTGAAAGATTTCTCTTGCATCTCTAATGATTTTTTTTTAATGGAATAAGACATAAGGGGAATAAATATATGTAAACAATGTTAATTTAAGCCTGTGTCCATACAGGCCAACTAAGCCAAATGAAGTCATAAATATTTCCAGAATCCTGGCCTGAAAACTGATTTTTGAAAAGTGGGGAGATGGCTTTGTGTGTCATTGGGTGGGTTTTCTCCACAGACTAAGTCTAACAACGAACTTCCTGATTCTTTAGTCTTACCAGCCTTGCAGTTGCCCCATTTTTATAAATACTCCTGTAACAGTCTGTCTTCTGAAGAGTTCATGGCTCCCAGGTTTTCCAGTGAACCTGTCATGTCTCTGTATTGATCCTTGCAGGATATTAATGGACTCACTCAACCAAATATAATACCTGCCCAGACCTATGCTACCATGGTCAGGAGGCATCACCAGGACACAAAGCCGAGCAATTATAAGAGGCTATTTCCCAGCCCTCTGTATACTCAAAGACTCTTGCATACCGAAGGGATCTGTCCAGAGATCTTCCAGAATCCCAAATTAGGAATCCCTGAAGAATATCCTGAGAATTGTGGCTTACTAGCTGTTGAGTAGAAAACAAGGAAGCTGCCCTGAGATACAGTCAGCTGCCTGCTACTGTATGCCAGCCTTTCAACTTGTCATTTCAGATTTGTGCTTCAGCAAAATCATAACTTACAGGTCAGAACACTTCAGGGTCCCTTACAAATAAGCCTAAATCCTGTGTCATCCTTAAATTCCAAAGGTCTACTGGTCTAGGCCCTGACCCTGGGTGGAATCGCCCTCAGGGCTGGAGTTTGGAATGTAAATTGTAGGCTAGGCAGGTTTTGCCATTAGCAGCCTAAGGGTTGGGCTCTTGGCCTCTAATCCTCAACATTACAATGAGGCAACATCACATGACCTGAGCTGTGTTCTAGATGTTAAACCTGTTTTAAAATGACATAAAAGAGCAAGAAATCTACAGCTAGTGGAAAATACATTTGCCATTCCATATTGTTAAAGTCATTAATGACACCTACAAACGTAGGGGTAAAAACTCAGAAGGATACTCCTTGGGGCCATGGAAAAGAAAGGACAGTGATCAGAACAATGTGATCTGTGTTCTCCCCTTCACACTTTCCCAGGCCTGCTATTGGTAGCGAGACCCTCACCCTCCAGACAGAATGCATTTAGCCCAGTTGCAGGGAATATCATCACTGTGTGTGTGTGTGCTGGATGTCACAGTGTTGTATGTGTCGAGTCTAATGTTGAGCTGTAGCAAGTCGGTGACCTTCCTCTTTGCTCTTTGTAAAGAAGACAACCATTGTTTGTCAGAGAAAAGTCCCCCGCGATCTGTGCTGAAGAGGCTGTCATCCACCTGCTGTCCCCTTTGGAACAGTTCAACTGCAGAAATGTCAGACTGAGGTTTTGTGCTTTGTCGTTTTCTTTTTGAAACAAAATAACACAACCGTGGCTCTTCCAATATGGAACACTTCTTTTGTTGTTGTGGGGTTCCCTCTTGCTCTATCTTCTATGCAAATCCTTTTCTAAAAACTCCCCAGCAGAGGCGGCGTGCTCTCTGGGCATCCCGCCTCGCCCGCTCGCTGTGTGGTGGAGGTGAGGGACTTCAGCCCCGGGGGTGCCTCTTTTCTCTCCCTGGCTGCCTCTCCTGACTTTTCCTGCAGTCCCTTGGTTTGTAAATTGCCTGCATTTATTCTGTCAGCCAACATGTACAAAATGTAAGAAAGAATTTTTAAACAGGTAATAAATTATATTTATAAGCAACGGAAAGTGCTGCCTCCCTCATTGCTTCATAACAAAGTCATCCTTCGCGTGAAGAGTCACCATGTCTTTCTTCAGTAGGACAAAAAGCTGTTGGATCCGGCGTGGACGGTAACCACAGCCTTCCTCACTGACAAGATGAGCTTCTACAGTGGTGCTACTCCAACATCGCTGCACACCAGCATCACCTGCAGAGCTTTAGAAACGAATGCCTGGGTCCCGCCTCCGCCTCCGGAGATTCTGCTTTAATTGGTCTGGGTATAGCTTAAGTGCTGAGTTTTAAAAGCTCCCAGGTGATTCTAATGAGCAGTTAAGGGTGAGAATTAGTGTCTAAGAACATCTGCAACAGCATTCCCTGGGGAGCTTTGTAAATAAAAAGACAGGCCCTAACCTCACAGATCAGAGTTTAAAGTTTGCAAACAGCTACACTAATAGGTAGGAAATGAAAGGTGAGCCCAACAACACAGCCCAGAGAGCTATACCAAATACCAGGAGACACCTTCACTTTAGCACAGAAGCCCAGCCACTGACTTAGGGTGGGGAGGTGAAGGGCTCCATGTGTGGGGTGGAATGGGATGTGAGATTAGCCCTGGAGGTGAAGGCAGCCTTTTCCTCAGCAAGAGAACTACTTAGACAAGGGGCCTTAGTGGACTGTGACTGGCACACACAGCCCACCCCCCCGCAGCCTAGTTAGCCAAAGAGCATAAGCAATTGCGCCAGTGCTGAGAAACAGTCCCATCTCATGGGCTGGGAGACGGTGACTTAAAACTGCTGGGATCACAAATTCAAATGTTTGCTCAGGGCTAAAGAAGTAATGAAATAAACTGGATGGATAAACTGGAACCTGAGTAAAATCAAAGGGAGAAGAAAGACCCGTGACTGAACTAGAGAATTCAAATCCCATCTAAAAAGAGTGAAAATTCAAACAAAATGCAAAGAAAACTGTACTTCACTAAGAAAACACACGTGGCACAGACTAAGCATTACCAGCCCATTATCCCCTAATGTGGAGCTTATGTAGCTGGGATTCCTGGTGAGAAAGCCACTCCTGGGAGAGCATGCCAACATTTTCAAAGTCAAGTCAGTGAGGGACCCACATCAAGACCCTGTCTCCCAGCTGAGGTCACTGGAGAGTTCTTCATCTCCCTTTGCTGTCCTTCTGTGCCACCAGGCAAAGAACCTTCATCAGCCCCAGAGGTCCCTACAGCTGAATTAATATCAGGACCTAGGGTAGCAATTACTTTGCAGTAATGAAAGTTCTCTTGAGAATGGGGTCATCTGTATTTTGCTGCTGTGACCAAACAGAACCACTATGTTTGCAATTTATTAAATGACCAATGCCACGAGAAGAGCCTGTTGGCCTCAGCTGGTATTTACTACCTATCTGCTTTTGAAACCTGTGAAAAGTTTGGCTTTCCACAGTATACAGAAGTGGGGCATAGAGAAGGTGCAAGAGGTGTCCCAACAGCAAACCTTGGCTGGTTTTAGGTGTTGTTGGCTTTACATTCTGTAAAACGAACGTAAGAAAAATCAGTATCACAAGCACCTGCCATGTGCCTGGCATGGGGCCGTCACATACTTCACATACCCATCTCATCAGTTCCTCATGAGAGCCCAATCTACAGGTGAGAAAATCAAGGCTCAGAGGTTATGTCCTTCCACAGAATTGCAAAACTGAACATGATGGGATTTGAGCCAGGCCAAGCTGAATTCCAATACAGAATGCATTCTCTTGGCAGAAGTGCAGCTGCTCAACAGGGCCAAGCACAACGAACTGCTCAGCTCCCAGCCACTGTGTAAGACGCAAATGCTTCGGTACACTCCACCCGAACAGTTCTGGGCTTCCTCTGTCCTGCTCCAATCTCCAATAGATCCTCTCAAAACCAAACTTTCCATCTTGCCCTGCAGAGTTGACAATCCATGGAAAAACAACCCTCACACTCTCCCTCACCTTTTGCAGAGGGTTTCCTACTCTCCAGGGACAATTCAGATGCAAAAGCAACAGCTTCATCCTCCCATACCCCAAGTACCCCACAGCTGAGAGGAAGGATGGGCTCTTCCTCATGCCGTCTGCGACTTCCAGATCACGACACTGCATAAAAACCTGCTCCTTTGCACTTCCAGCCTTCCAGCTCTACCAGCCTCTCATGTCTACCCAACTGCCCAGCCATTCTCCCGGGGCCCTGGAGAACTTTGCCCCACAGGACTGTCCTTTCCTAAAGCCATTATCCAGGGGCAGGGGCTTCAAAATCCATGAAGACAACAAATCCAAAGGCCTGGCTTTCGGGCTCCCTTTTCATCACCAACGATCTCATCTATCCAGTCCTGTGATTGCACCATCAGCCTGTCCTTAGTCTTGTTGTCCCCTCTTTGAAACTTTGATTATGGCCACAGCCCCTCTCTGAGCAACTGCTAATACACCACCTCAATCCCATCAAGATTCCCTGTCCTTTAACCTCGTTTCTTTTGCTCCATCAGCTGCCTCCTCCTCTCCTTAATTCTTTCTAGCCCACGTCATCCAGCCTCTTGATGATAACTCTTATTTTCCATGACCCATTTGCTGCATATGCCAGGATAAAGCCCAACCCTGAATGAATCCACCTGTTGCTGTCTCCATGCCTATATTTGGGTTGCTGATAGAAAAATCAAACCACAAACCACATAGAAACATGGCACTATGGATTGGTAATAATAGCTCGTAGTAACAGTTGAGTGCTTACCTCATGCGTGTTTGCATGTATTATTGCATTTCATCTTCAAAACAACTCTATGCAGTAGATATTAATATTCTCCTCTTCAAGGGCAAGAAGCTGAGTCTTTGAGAGGTCAAAGCGTGCCTAGTGTCACGCAGCTGAGGCAGTGAGCGAGCCTGGATTCGCACACAGCCTCTTATGTGGCAGTCCAGAGTCCATACCCTCGGCCACTGGCCACACAGAATAGTATCATCAGTGTTAACTAGGCCTTTGGCATTGCCCAGAACCATCTGTTTCCCTGGTAAGCTGTAATTTTCCACAATGCAATTTTAAACCTTTTTCACTTCTCTCAAACCAATGACTGCTCTGCCCTGCCCCTCACTCTCAGCAGATGACTGTGCTCCCCGATAACAGAAAAAATAGAAGCCATCAGACCATTTCTCTTGCCCTTCTGCCACAAAATGTACAAACTTACCTGCATCTGCTGCTTTCCTTGCAGAGTTCCTGCCTGTTAAAATGTGACATATTCAGACAAAAAAAGGCACAACTATAATATAACAGTCATGTTTTTTCCCCCCAAGGGGAGAATGAAACCGCTTTATTTAGGGGAATGTTAAAACAAAGCCATGTACAATTCGTAACAAATACAATTGTTTGTTCCCTTGTCCTGAATAATTACAGTATATACAAATTCTGTAAGGCACTGGTTCCCCAAAATAACACAAATGAGTCTTCTTTTGGAACAGACAAGACCCTATATATTTTTCTCAAAAAAATATTGCATTTTGTTTTGTTTTACAAGAAGAATCATAATTGCTAAATTAAATCACTCCTGATGCCACTTTTCATTTCCCTGCTACGTGACTGTTTCTTAAGGACATATGACTACTCAACATATTCAAGTTTAAAAAACACTCAGTGCCTTTCCACCTGCAAACAAGGAAGAATCAGAACAGACCAACAACATAAAATGTCTAATGAACAGGCATGAAATGTGGTCATTATGAAGTACTTGCTATACTTGACTACACACCAATTGAAATGTGTCAAAGAATTCCCTGTAAATAAAATCTCGGCGTGTTTTTTAAGAAGCTTTCTCTTTGGGCAATAAAAGAATGGTCACTAGTGACTTTTGAGCGGTGCTTTCCAGGAGGTCAAAGGCCTTTCTCCTAATACGCAGTGTTCACAGCACTTCACCTATGATTTAACAATCTACACATTTTCATAAATAAATATTATGATTCACTTAGTACTTTATCATCCATAATATTTTAACTCTGTAATCCACATAATGGAGTTGTGCCAGACTCCAAACTGAATATTTATATTTATATATATTTATATAATATATACACACACATAAACTATAAACCTGAACATCTTAGCATACAAAAATTATCTAATAACTAATAATTTAGGATTCCTGTGGGGGGATTAGAGGAAAATCTTAGTCTCTGAGATAGTGCTGAAAATAGGCAATCAACTACATTATTAATTTTTAGGTTTTCACTTATTCAAGTGAAAAAAAATAAAATAAAATTCACTTCTGAGCTGCTAGAAATTCAAAAATCATAAAGGATTATTGAGAAGTGAATAGGTAGTCTTTAAGAACAATTTAGCATTACCTAAGTAAAGTGGAGTTTGGTAAGATACAGAGAAGAATCTATTCATAAATAAATTGTGTCACTGAAAGACTATAATAGGTAAGTGGGTCTTTTTAAGTATCTCAGGAATAATTTTTAAATATTCATAGTGAATAAATCAGGTTGGAGATTAGAAAGTAAGCTACTGATTTTTTTCCAAAGCAACCACACAAATAATATATAAGAAATATGAATACTATTTTAATTTCTCCCATTTTTTATTAGAATCAACACCTCCGTAGAAATCTACTTCACTTTCAAATCGTCACCTCTCCACAAAATATTCTGATTTGAGGTTATCCATGTTTGAGAACTTACCAAAAAGAAAGCACAACTTTATCTAAGAGGTAAGCCCAACCATACTTAAATTCAGGGAAAACCCAAGAAACACAAACATGTCCCCACTTAAACAGCATAAATGTTATTTATTTGTTTGTAGATGATCTGATTAGAGGCACTGAAGTTTCTAAGGTCCAGATGATCATCACACTTCGTTCTAACCACATGTTCATTCTAAGTTATCACAAAGAATATAATTTGACACAAGAGAAAGGAACCTTTATATTGCTAGTGAGGTTATTTTAATATCAGTAAAAGCAGAATTCTGATTACAATTATATTTGGAACCATCTGTCTTTACCCTTTAAAAAAACCAGAAGAGAACATGTTTTCAAATTCAAGGATTAAGAAATTCTTCTTAGTTACAAATGCAATGTGGCTATTAAGCATTGGGAAGTGAATGCAGAATACAGAATGCTGTGTTTCTCCTGATTTCCCCACCTGTAAGCACAGCTCACACACACTCATTGCTCTAAGATCTTTTCTGGATGAACAAGTCACCAGCTGCAAGACTACTTCAGAAGTGAGGAAAATATTTTCTCATTTTTCATGCAGCTGTCAAATTTTCAAAAATTGTAGTCACCCAGTTGTGAAAATGTGTTATAAAACACTGCCCCCTGGAGGAGGCTAGAGTGAACGTCTTTTTTTAAAAGGCCAAGGGGAAGTAGTTCCAAATCTTTACTAATCACTCCAGAATCTCCAAGAAGAAAAAGAAAGCCACAGTAAGGAAGAGTAAATGAATGAAGTTGAAAGGGATGTATAAAATTTTATACTTTATTATATTCCTGTTGCTAAGGAATACTGGCCGTGTCAATGATTTTATTCATGTTGCTCCAAAGTTAAAACCCCGTAGTAGTGAGCAGGTAAAGAGATGTTTTACACAAGTGTCACAGAAAAAAAAATAATAAATAGTGAACTGAACATCATTAGAATAAAATAAAACAAATCAGCATTCCTAAAGTGTGAAATGATCACTTAAGATGTAACATACTTGATCCATATCTATTCTAGAATAATAAATCATAGCAGCCACAATATTTTGTGGTCTCCACTAACTCTCCTCTGCTGTCCCATCTAGAGGTTATATTTCTCTATTTTTAAATTAAATTTTTGTTAAATTAACCTAATAGATGCTTCCTCTCTATCCCTTAACTCAGACACACAAAAAAAGACAATTTAACAAAAAGAAACCATCTTCTTCTTTACAAAATAAGGTATGCATACAGTTTTTCCTTGTGCTTCTGAGACTGGCTCCCTTACGTACGGAAGAAATAATCCACCTGCACCCTCAGCCTATCCTCCTACCTTGTTGACATGATCTTCTCACAACACAAGAGCAAATTATCTCTATTTTAAAGCACCTTGTCTTCAATACATCTCATGGCAATTTTATTTAATATTGATCCTTTGATTTGAGAGATCCAAAGCATGCACAGGTTAATTCTCTGCACATAAAAAAAAAAAAAAAGCTTTGTGCTTAATGAAAAGGAAGAGATTTTAGCTTTGTGCTTAATGAAAAGGAAGAGATTTTACCATGAAAGAAATGCCTAACAATCAGAAACACAAAGTGGTTCTGAAGAACAACTATCAACACTTACTTCTATTAGAGTCACATAAAACCTTCATTTGTTCCATATTGTCTGAAGCTGCAAAAGGCCACCTGCAGGAATTACAAGACGTGGTCCCTGACAGGCAGTATTTGTACCCAGGTGCATTCACATTGCTGTGGCAGTCCCAAATACAGGGCTGGCCAAAGTGGTCTGAGGTGGGGCGGGGGTTAGGATGAGCTCCATTCTAGACTCTCCAGCTTCACAGACTGTCATTCAGTTTGTAGAGTGCAACGGTATTTTACCAAAGGAAAAACATAATCTATACCTTCCAACAGTTTCTGGGAAGAACTTTTTTTATTATTTAAACTCTAATAGTATAAACCTTAAAACATCCACATTATTAGTTTTATTTTGGCAAAATTAAAGCATCTTTTTAAAAAAAAAAAAAAAGGCAATCTCAAAATACAGGGCTTTCTTAGAAAGCAACACGCCTTATATCTTGAACAAGTTACCCAAGCGGAATCTCCCTCCTACAAACAGATGCAGATGAATCTGTGCTTCTGGGAACTTTTCTGTCTTTGTCCAGGTTGCTCCCTGAGAGGTGAGGTTTGAACCCAATGGGAAGCAGGACGATGTTCAAGGCTTGTACTATGGATGCTTCTTAACATCTCTTGCTCTACACACAGACAGAAAAGGATCTGTTAGCTTTCCGCAGAGATGCTTACTTTTTCCTTCATATCAGAGTTTAATGTCCTGGGACTCTGACATTTTGGCAAGTGTTTTCTTAACACGCAGGGCTGTGAGCCTCGATGCAGGATTGTGAGCCCAGCATTCTGTCATTAGTTTCCCCATCTGCCTTAGACACTGCAGAAGGAAAAGAAAAATTGAAATAATGTTAGAGAAATGTATTATCTGCAAGACTGGCACTTGATATTTGGCTTTTAGTTTGGGGTTCATGAAGTTTGAATATATTTTTAAAAGGTACCCTTAAAAAACCATGTAGAAATAAAATTCAATAAAAATTCCTTTTCACGCAAAATTATAACTAAAACCGATTTTCATGTCTTCCTTGTGATAAGAGCAAGCAAGTAGTTTTGCTGATGGGCGTCTTTGAAGTCAGCATGAAGCAAATATAAAAATATCCAGGGAGTCTGTATTCCACTCCACACTCCCAGATGTTTACAACACTTGAAAGTTTAAATTTTTCATCGAATTTCATACTATTCAAACAAACATGGTTATTCCTAAATCACAGCTGTCTGCCTCAGTAATAGGCACAGTAACAAGATTAATGATCTGTTGAAAGCATGGCTAAAACTTTCTCCTGTATCTTCTTGTGGTACATCAATTATTAGTCTTCCTATTGAAAAGCACAATTTCACTTCATTGGAAATCCTCAGTGAAGGAATCTCAGGTAACACCAATGCCCACAACCACCTTTGAAATAATATGACTCCAGCATCTCATAATGCTTTCTGCACAGGTCTTTGGAAAACATATATTATTTAGCATTTCAGTAACTAGACACAAAACCAATGAACTAAAGGTTATTTTAAAATGATTTCTGCACTGGAGAATTAGTTTATAAATAGTGCTCTGTCCATTTGTTTGCAGTGGTTTTGGTACATGTTTGATAAGTCCTTTATTTATTTGTTTGTTTGTTTGTTTGTTTGTTTGTTTTTCTGAGGTGCTTCAAACTCATCTTGAATGTCTTGGCTTGCTCGAGAACTCCAGGACTTGGGTGAGTTTGAAGGCTAAGCGGGTGGAAGGAGAGGAATGTGGAGCAGGATGCGGCAGAGTCAGGAAAGCAAGGCCTGCCCAACAACTAATTTCCTGCTTCCTAGCACCTCCTTTCCAGACCTATTTAGGCGTCAACACTAAATTCATAGAGCCAAGCTGAGCGTGAATCTGCTCTATTGTATCTCATCAACCTATTAACAAAGATACACAGCACAGTCAGGCATCTCAGCTTGGTCAATGTGTATCACTTCTGCGAAGAGAAAACTCAGTTTTTCAGATGCCTGCCTACCTTTTCCTCTCAGCAAAACAGGAGAATGCCGTATGTGGGTTTGTTATGCAGTGAAATCATGATGTTCAAAAACATACACAGAGAAATAACAGCCTTTATGCAAATGTCAAGATGTCATAAATAAATGAAAGAATGTTATCTATATGCAGGCTAAATGTTGACCCACTCAATATATTCTGTAAGTGGCAACATTGGAAAACAAAATTGGAAAAAAGGATCATAATTTAACACACTACACTTAGCTCCATATAAACTATTGCAATGAAGCACCATTATCATCATCATCAAAACAGAGAGGAATTCCTGTAATGAATATTTGGACTTTTGGCAAAAGAAGAAAAGTCTTGTTAGAAGTCAGTCGTAGCCACATGGTTACCGCAAGACTTACCTCATCGCTACTCCAGCGGTTGGGGAATGAGGGACGCAGCTTCTTGATGCATACAATCTCTCTCATGTCCTCGTAAGAGGGGTCACTCGGCACTAGGTCATGATAGGGAAGCTGGTACTCTTCCACTATACCTGAAATATGTTTTTATTATAATCATTCTTTCCTATGAAGTGAAAATAATACTCTAACACTCAAACTGTTCTCAAAGAAAAACAAAATAAATCTTGAAAAGAATCTACACAAATAGTGCTTAACTTAATTTAGGAAAAATGAATACGAAGCCCAATGAAAAATATTATCGTAGGTCTTTTAGCCATTTTTCTAATTTCCAAAAGGTAAGTAAAACAAGCATCTCAAATTTACTTCCAATTTTATAAAGACCAAGTTAAAAAAAACTTCATTAAATCTCAATGTAAATTTGGAAGGCACATCCTGAACTCGTACTGCATAATACGTGACTGTTTCTATTATTACTGTGGTATCGGATTATGAATATCATAATACACTTGGAAGTGTATCTAACTTGAACGAAATGTCAGATTTACATTTTTCTGCTTAATCATGTGTTTTTGCACATTAAAAATTTGGAAAATAATATACACCCAAAAATATTAACCATGATTTTTTTTTTATGTTCAAAGATTGTCTAAGTTTTTTCTTCTTTAAATTTTCTGTATTTACCTACATTTTTGACAATGAATACATTACTATCAGAAAATATATATATAATGTTGGAAAAGGGTTAAGAAATACAAATCTATGCCATCTTCATGGAAATGGCACTTACACCAAACTTTATTTCATTTCATCTTTCGTAGTATCTAATTTCTGCCTTTTTCCTCTTTAAAAAAAACGGGCTTTGTTTTCTTTTTAACCTCATCTGATTAACTCCTTACAATAATCATAAGCAGCCCCTGTCCTCAGAGGATGCTGCTCTGAACAATCTTTTCAGAGCACCCTTACTCCCTATCCTAAATCACCTTTTATAGAAATGTTACTGCTTTTCACCCAAAAATGATGATACCATCAAGTTGGCAGATTATACAAGAGTACTTCAGAAAGTTCATGGAAGGGGCCGGCCCGGTGGCGCACTGGATAGTGCGCCGCTTGGGAAGCGCGGCGGCTGTTGCTGGTCCAGGATCACATTTGAGAAGCAAATCTCTGGATGATTTGAGAGTGAGGTGGAGGGAAACTATATATATATTTTAAATGCACCTAATTTAATATTAGTCAGACCTATAGTTAGCCAAATATCCTTCAGAATGACTGGATTGCCTTTCATGGAGAAATTTTGATTTCTCATTTTCTGGGTAAACACAAAATGTTTCATGCCAAGTACCTAAGCAGTCCAGAATGGTTCACAAGGGAGCAAGAGAAATGCTAATGGGAATGGGGTAGGGGTGGGAGAATCACATTTTACTTGTAAATTATAACAATGTATTGTATAGTATGTAACATAGTTTGGCTTTGCCAGCTACACAAATTGGATGAATTATCAGTTGCAAATTTTAAATAAAAATCCCATACGCCTGTAAGGCAGTATTGCATTAGTACCAGTCTGGAAAAAAAAAAAAAAAAAAACGAAGAAGAATTCATATTATCAATTTAATCTCTTTTTCCTTAAACTTTCTGAAGTACCCTTGTACACCACATCATTAAATTTACTGGGTATTTACTCCAGCAAAATCTGGGATCTATGTTATGGATCTTTTTTGTAAACTCAAACCCGTACAAAATCATAAAGGACGGGAAGGTTCAAAAGTTTTGTCAGACCATTTCAAGTCACCATTTGTTCTGTCCCCTGCGGTGACCACAGAGGGTAATTATATGTATTACCCATGTTAATATTTCCCTCTATTGTGTTTTTTTTTTCTATAGGAGATAATAAAAGCAGAGGGCCTGACACACAGGAGATGCTGGCTTCACTTCACTTCTTCCTCCCTTTCTAATTCTCAAGACCCTGAAAACATCTTGAGGCAAGAACCATATCTATTTAATTCATCCCATATTTTCTTTAGTGCCTCACATTGGTACCATTAGCTGGATAGATGGCAGGGTAGGTGATTACACGACAACAGACACAGGCAGAGTCAACCACATAAATTATGAATTAATCAAATTCTGGCTTTGAACTATAAGCCATACTCCTTTCTTCTTAACATGCAATCAATTTATCAAAATTTTCTAAGTTAACTGCCATTTAATTCTGTGTTTGAAACCTCAAAACTTTCTCTCTTTTCCTTCCAAAGTTTGAAAGGCCTACATCGGATGCATCACTCTCACCCAAAAGTACCCGGACTAGAAAAACAAGCCCAAAAAACTTCTAATACCTCCATAAAGGAAAATGTTAGAGAATAGAATTCTGCATGTTTTGCTTCTCTGGAAAAAGAAAAGAAACTAATTTGTTGAGAGACTGTTATATACCAGGCATGCAGGGAGGTATGCTATATAATTTATCTTACTAAATTCTCACAAACACACTTGTGAGATAGCATTATTATCCACAAAATTCAGATGAGGAAACTTTGTTCTAAGAGTTGTAACTTGCTCCCTGTCATACAATTGGTACAGGGCAGAGCTGAGACTAATGTCTCTGCGAAACATACATCAGTCTCATATAGGGATAAAGGAACATTTTAGTACTTCTCAGATCTCCATATGCAAAGACAGCTCTAGCAAAGCAATTTATTACCCTGCTGTTTACATAAATCTTACTTGATTTTATGCTGAGAATCATTTGTGGTATCTGGCCACAGGCTTTCAAATATAGGCTTCTTGTAGCCTTATTTCAGATGTTCAGAAAAACATAATTAGATGAGTAATTTGTACTCTATTACAACTTCTACAAGCCTGTCTTAAGTAAGTGTGAGCATATTATTCTAGATGGGCTCATCTATTCTTTACAAAGCATGACATCAGGGCACAGGCAATTAGTTAATTTATAGTTTGGTTACTTCTTCTTTATACTTATGATGGGAGATTTATACAATAAATCTAACCAGGGAAAATTTCCTGCATTAACTTTCCTTTTGGACAAAAGAGTTCTCTCACTTCATAGGGAATGTGTTCAATTTCAAATTGCTTATGAGAGGCTCAGAATTCCCAAAGTTGTTAGAAGGTATTATTATATCACTGATGATGATCTTTCTATAAAATTTGAATGACTGTCGATTAGCTGTTTCTTCTTTACATTTAAATATGAATCTAAATATGTTATGGCTCAACCAACCAAAATGAAAATCAATAACAGCTGACATGTATTGAGTGCCAGGAAGTTTTAATACTCTCTCCATTCACTGAAACCTCACAACAACTGTGTGAAGTAAATACAATAATTCCCCTCATTCTTAAAAGGAAGACACTGAAATAAACAAAAGTTTAGTAACTTGCCCAAGGTATCACAGATAATAAATAGCAGGGACAAGAACAAATCCCAGTAGTAGGTAAGTGCACACTGCACTTTCGGAATTTGGAGCAAGCTCGTGTTTTCATGAGAAGAGTTTAATTAAACTGGCCATTCTGAGGAACAACAGCAGCATCAAGGTTTTTCAATGAGAACAACCACAAGCAGATTATACAAGGTACTTGATACAGAAGAACCTAAGATTCAGCTCCTTACCCAAAAGGTGCTGGTATTTACGTGAAGACAGATTACAAAGCAGTAATCTAAATAGTACAAGCAGTAATACTTCTGAATATTTACAGATGTCTTATTTATTACAATTGGTCTTACCAGGGAATCTTTACGTTTGTAAAAAATTGTCAGCAACAATATCAGTATTCTCATGCTTTAATTTCTTTTTCATAAAAATTGATGTTTTCAAATTGCTTTATGAGAAAGTTTTATAGAAAGTAGATAGGAGAGTTAAGAAGTAGGTGTCCCACCCCACATTTCTATCTTCACTGTCATCTTTGCAGAAGTCACAAGAGAATGGGGCACTGGATTTGGGGATGGAGCCCAACAGGTAGATAAGAAGTAGTTCAAGGGTTAGGAAAAGGGATTTGATTTGGTGGAGCAACTGCTGGAGGAAGAGTGCTAGACAGAAAAAGACAATACACAGAGTAGAAGAGCACGATCTTTGAAAAGTCAGGAAAGTTTGATAGAGTGTCTAGAAGAGAATCACTGGTAGCAGGCGGAGAGAAAGTTGGCAGTCAAAGACTATTCTAACATGTCAAATATCATTTCCTTGGAGAATTGTGACTGTATCAGCAGAAATAAAGGGGAAAACAAAACAAAACCTGATTTTGCAGACAATGATAACTGATTCCTGGTAAGAAAGAATTCATAGTAGCTCCAATAGAAGCTTTTGAAGATATCGCTGTTTCTTACCTCCTGATACACATCTCCTAGCAACCTCCCAAAGGATGAGTCCAAAGCTATATATGTCGGCCATGATGTAAGACTGAAAGTGATTTCTATTCAAGCTCTCATCCAACACTTCCGGAGGCATATAGCGTTTGGTGCCAACTCGAGTGTTGGGTGGTATGTCAACTTCATTCGTATCACTGAAGAAAAAGTAAAGCAAAGCATCATCAGCATTGAAGAGGGCCAGTGAATGACAGATTCAGGTGACTCTTAAACAAGGGCTGCAGTGAAAGGTGGGAAAGGAAAACCTTTCAGGGAATAAAAACATTTCCTTGAAAAATATTTCTCAGCAAAAGTGATATTAAATATTCACAGGTAAAAACACAATGAAGATGAGAATCAGAACGAAGTGGCAACTTATAATTTTGCATTACCACCAGATCAAATTTAAACCCTAAACAATTTCTCAACAACTATTAAATGTCTAAAAATTACATTCTTTCCCTTCATACTGTAATAGCTTTGCTCTTAAAATTGGCATGCATGCAAAAAATTGGCATGCCAATTTGGCTTGTTTGAGACAGTTATTTTTTAATCCAGGTGTTTTGAGGCTTTTCCATCTACAAACAAAAAAAAAAGAGGGGGGGGAGGAAGGAGAGGACTAACAAAGACTTGCAAATGTTTTACTTTGACAGGAGGGGTCATAAAAAAAGTTTTCTACTGTCACTACTATTTCATGAACCAAATGGCATTTAGTTTTTTAAACAGGAGGAAAGAAATAATGGAATATAAAATCTTCAGCTTTATGAAAATTCCACAACATGGTCAATTTATTACTACTTCCTGCAGACAGGAAGAAAATCACTGGTGGAGGAACAGTTATCTGCAGACCAGCACTCGGGAACCACTGCCTCAGTGCAGTGAGCTGCAGCCAGAGTTCCGAGCCCATGTTTTGAAGCAGCTGAACTGCTGGCCTGACAATTAAATGAGATGAAACATGTCAAATCCCTGCCAACCGTGCTAGGCACACATTAATGCTTAACGAATCCTACACTGCATCGGGATGCAAACAAACTCAGAAGAAAGGTGACAAAAGCCAGGTGTGACAGATGAAGAAACTATAAAACAGAAAAGGTACAAAAACTCATTATTAAACTGAAGTTTGTGAAAAATCTTGAATAAGCCTTCTTGTCTCCTGATTCCCAAGAAAGTGTTTTGGTTTTTTCTTCTCATCAAAACAGAAAAGGTACAAAAACTCATTATTAAACTGAAGTTTGTGAAAACTCTTGAATAAGCCTTCTTGTCTCCTGATTCCCAAGAAAGTGTTTTGGTTTTTTCTTCTCATCACACTCCACTGACTCTCAACTATTTACGTGTTATTTTTCCTCAGCATGGAAAACAGATCTGTATATCAAATACCACATCTATCATATTGTGTCAAAGACAACCAGTACCAAAGTTACCAAAACACTACTGGCTTTTGGAAAAAATCTGTGTTTGATGTGACTGCCTCAATCTCTTCTAAAACATAAAACATGTAGTGTCATTTGGGAAAATTTAAAGTGTAGTAGATGTCCCTCTGTCTATCTCAAAATGGTTTTACATTTACTAAAACATAAATACAAAGCTTTATTCTTAGAACCTTTTTAAATTCACTTCCAGTAGAATCCTTAATCTAAAACTATTTCAGCAGATGTGTCATCAGTATACTCATTAAGCTCCTGGTGGCTTTCTAGGAGCAACAACTAGCCTGTTTTCCTAAAATAAAAGTTAAAGTGTAAAATTTTTAAAAACTAAACAGCTGGTATTCCTTAACCATCTGCCAACATAAGTCCCAGTGTTCTGAGCTCTTTTCTAAGACTAGGAAAAGAGGTTAAAACATTAATTCTTAGTATCTACCAATATGATATAATAGAAAAAGGTCATTTGTTTGTGTATCTAAAATAGCAAACAATAAGGGAGGAGAGTGTGCCGAGAAGAGGTTTAATGGTAAACTGGAAGAATATCAGATTTCAAAGATGCCACAGGAAATGACAAATGTTTGAGATTTGAGGTGTGCTAATTACCCTGCCTTGATCATTACACATTGTATACCATGTATCTAAATATCTTGTTACACCCCATAAGTATGCACAATTAAAAATAACATAAAAATTTAAAAAGCCACAAAAGCTCCACCTCCAGTCATAATTTCTCTCCTCGTACTCTACCTGCTGACTCCTCTCACATGAGCATACAGTAGGTGTTTCGTTAATAAAATTTATCATTATTTTATTAATTATAAGTTATAATTAAAGTAATCAGTGGAGGAAGAGAGAAGTGGCCCCAGGTAGGGATTCCTTGGTTCTGTTCAGAGAAAACAAACGTGGGTTTAAAGTTGGAAAGAAGATGGACGAAGGCCTAAATTATATTCCAGAACACGTACTGGAGAAGGAAACCAAGAGCAGTCGTAAGAAAGGCCCCACAGGAGTACACTTAAAGGCCAGAGACACACTCTGACCACAGCTGACAGATTTTAGGCCATTCCTTTTCATTCTGACTCTTAGCTCCTTCATGTTTATTTGAATTTGGGAGGTCAGGGAGGGATAATGCGAGACGTGATATGGGGACACCTGCTGGAGGTCTGAAATGGAACTGTTACCTAATAGTAGAACTAACAATTGTAGTGGCTGGACTATATACAGTTTACCTCTAAATTCTCTTTCCTTCAAATGCTGCAAAAACATACTATCAAGGATTTTGAATGTCCATCAAATGTCAAAAAAACAGCTCCTTACACAGGCCACACACGCTCAGTAACTTCCATCCCTCATACCCTTCGTCTCCCACCCTAGGTGTTTTCCCTAGTAATTAAACATCTGAATAAATGTCTGTCTTCCAACATGAGATTGTAAACTCTTTTGAGCCCTGCATATCTGTCATAACCATTTGGTATGTCTTACAGCTCCAATCCATGTCCACTCACAATGTGCATTGCACATGGCAGGCAAGTAATTACGCTTTAAATGAGAGAAGGAAAAGGTATGTTTATGATGAACTTTGCTATGGATTATTTAAAGAGAAATATAAAAATCAATGTTATACATATGCCATAAAACGAGAGATTACCAATATCTAGGAGGATAAACAGAATTTTGGGGGGCAAATTAACTTTGTAAAAGATTACTATTAACCTAATGGTAAATACCCTTAGCACTATACTTAAACAATAAACATAATTATAAATATCTGACACTATAAATATCAGGTCCTCCAAGACATAGCTATGCCCCTTCTTCCCACAGGCACATTTCTATGTTTGAAAGTAATTAAACTACATATCATTCATAGGTTTTCAGTAACAATTTTATCTGTTCCCAAATAAATGACAGAAAAGTTGATTCTGTATTAATCTTCAAGGCAAAAAATAGAAAGTAATATCATTAACACTGTTGTACTAAGAATATAGGAAGAAAAAGAGAGAGGAAATAGAGTCAGAGGGTATAGTGCTTGTCAAAATTGGGTACAGTGTCACAGAAAGAAAGGGTCAAGGGGAAAAGAGAAAGCAGAAAAGGTCAGGTGCCTTCAGCTTGCTCTATCTTCTTTTTCTATAGAGGAGTAGGGAAGGGTGAGAAACGAGGTTGGCAAGGAAAGATGGATATTGGCTTGGGCATGGCGTATAGAGTCAGAGAAAGTAACTCCAAACCCGCAAAATAATCCTGTGTACTTTAGTAGCTACACACATATGTAGCCAAATTATAAAATCATATATAGAAAATACAAAAAGGATCTTGGTTATTTCTGGGAGGGATAAAAGGAAGGAAAATAGGGAGGGGAAGCAACAAAGCTGTCTTCATTTTATTTCTTTTAAAATGACAGACCAGAGAAAAATAAGGCAAATTGTTATCACTTGTTAATATTAAATTATTACATAAGCATCTCATTTTTATACTTTTTATATGTTTATAATATAAAAACATTATTTATATACATATAAAATAACTAAAAAGAACCCAGCAGGATCAGGAACTAGAAAAATGCACATTTCAAAGATTAAGGGATAGATTATAGGCGTAAGACCCTGGAGATCAAAAGTGATCTAAATAAACTGAACAAAATTACAGAGAAGATGAGTTTCTACCAAGAAGAACTGAAAATATTCCATCAAAAACATTGGTGCTGCATTCACTGCAGAGGAAACATGATCTCTCCCCTTTCCATGGAGAAGAGATGGAAATAATTACACAAAGCGGTCATGACTGAATAGGGTTTTGGGAATTACAGTAGATAATATTACCCATTTATACTTTTACAATTAATATTCCCACTAGATCCAGCATGGCTTTTCTCCCTCTTAATGTCAGTACTAATGAGATGCAGACTTAAGTAGAATTGCAAGAAAATAAAAATATAATTTAAAGAAAATAAAGTAAATTAAGAGATGTCAGGTAAATTCCTCTCCAGGGAAAAGCTTTCTTTGTTTTAGAATCACACTTTAATAGCTATTTTTCTTTATAAACATTAGGGACAGTGGGGCTGCAACAGAATAGCATAAAAATACTGTATCTCCAATTTTCTGAATAAGAAATGAACAGTAACTTGAGAGGTTGCGGATAAGGAGGAGTCCGGCCTAGGGTCATAAGTTGTAGGAGGAGAAAATCAGGAAAAATGTCCTGGTGGCATGAATTTTAGAACTAAATTTAATGCAACACCTTCCAACACAATCCCTAGTAAAGACATGTTCAATCTTGAACTGGTGGAGTTTTGGGAACAGAAGAACCAGCAGCTACGTCACATGGAAAAGGCACGACATAAATGGGAGGTATAAGGCTGACAAGCCAAAGAGGGAAACAAGCTGCTTAGAATTCCCGGATGTGCTGCCAATGCTGCCAAGTTCCCTACCGTACTAGCTAGGAATGGGGATGTTAAAGTCTAATTTTATCTGAATCTCATAACGCAGGGCTGCCCTAGGCTAGAATTGCATAAAGAGGCATGTGTACCAAGTTCATATTTTTAACCGTCACTTGGATGACACTGATATGATACAGAAACTGTCAGTGTGATGGAGTAAGAGGTCTGCACTGATGATCAAAGGGCTTCATGAGTGGACGGACACTCCAAGTGGCTCTCCTAACCCAGAGAGGACACGAGCAAGTGATAGTTCTCAGGGCTACTGCTTCGAATGCAAGCAAAAGAGAAGACTGATCCTGTGTGTGAGACA